TTATTATACAGATATGCCATCTGAATATAATACATGTGGTGGTAAGTTTATTATTATTTTTTGTTTTTTTGTAAAAATAAAAATATTTACAAATTTTTAATAAAATCTTTTCCTTCTTTCCCGCTCACAGGAATTAAATTCATTTCTCCTAAAGCTGGTGACAAATTGATAAATCTTGAAGAAATTGAAGTAGTTTGGGAAACAAACTCGTATACAGAAGTAAATGGCTTTGACTTATATAATGAAAATGGAAAATTTGTTAAATCATTCTGGGAAGAGATTAAACTTACTGAAAAAGATGGTAAAGTTTCGGGAAAAGTTAGACTTAGAGTTCCTTCAAATACTAAATTACCTGATAAATTTACGTTTAAAATTTTGGGCAAAGGTGAAGATAACATGCATTGTTCTACACTTAGTGAAAGTTTTACTATACATAATAATCATGAATAGTGTTTAACAATAAGAAAGAATACTCGCGTTAAAATTTTATTAATTAGATCCTCGTGAATAAAAAAAAATATCATTATTTAATTATCAGCTATTTGAAAAGATTTTCTAATAAAGTAAATTCTTCATAAATACAATTTGAAATTTAAACCTTTAGTGCTCCATTTTTTTAAATGCAGCCGATCATTTGCTTTATTTGGCAAAGCGTTTTCATAGTAAATTTAAATAGTTTAGCTTTTTCGTCAAACGACATTTTTTTTTTTTTTTCATTTTGTGTTAAAAAAATAAAAATATTAAAATACATGTGTACTTCATTTTATGAAGATTTATCAAACAATTTCGGTTCGTTGCTTAGTTCAGAGTTAGAGTATAATGTCATAATCGATGTAGGAAATGGTGCAGACCACAAAGAATTTCATGCTCACTCTGTCTGTTGTCCTTTATAGTAGGTCATCATATTTTCAATCGTTATTTTCATCCTATAAAGTTGAGAAAAGGGGTGGAATATCTATCATTAGGTTTCCAGACATTAGTGAAATACGTTTCAATCCATTATAACGTAAGTTACCTTTATACTTTTGATTGTTCGAGAACTCATTTAGAACTTGAACTGGTATTAATCCCTTTATTGAATAGTTATATCTATACCGGAAATATTGACCTGACCGATAAGGAGGGAATCGAAATATTAAATATTCTGTTCATCTCTCAACAATTTTGTTTAAACTCCCTAACTAAATTCATTGAAAATATCTTATAGAAAACCATTCTGAATATTTAAGGAATTATCCCGTGGAAATCCTTCAGAGTATTTTATTTAGCATGTCCACCTTTAAAGATCTACAGGAACTTTGTATAGAGGCAATCTGTTATGAACCGGAACTCATTTTCCTCTCTGATAATTTTATCAATTATCCGCTCCTCTATTAGAAAATATTCTTAAGCGGGATGATCTTAATTTGAAATTTGGGAAAATTTAGTTAAATGGGGTGTCAAACAAATTTCAAGGCAACTTAATGATAATGTTGATGAATGGACTCAAAAAGATTTCGTCGAGTTGGAAGATACATTCATAATCTTATCCCCTTCTTAGGTTTTACGAAATTTCTTCTGAAGATTATTTTAAAAAGGTAAAACCTTTTGAAAAGTTTTTACCCAAGGAATTGCAGGAAGACATTATTCAGTACCATATGGTACCATGGCATGTACCAAAAGTTTAAAACATTAACGTCAAGATTTGCAAAGAATGTGAGTGATAATATTGATTCTAAATTACTTGAACAAAGCCATTTTCTTACACTTGCAAATTGGATAGATGAAAAGCATGAAACTGCTGCTTACATCAAAAATATTTCATATAATTTTCAACTGATATATTGAACATGTAGTCCTGGTAGTTGTTTTATTGATGATCTCATGAAGAAAACTGGGTCGGATAATGATGATTCTGATATGTGATCCAGGTGATCAAGAGAAGTTACATGGCATATCAGGTGGTTTGAAGCAATCTAATTATAGGTTAGGAGGATATATTTATGAAGAATTTACTTTATTAGAAAATCTTTTCAAATAGCTGATAATTAAATAATG